TAATAGAAGAAAACTTGTTTAATTTTAAAAGGCAGTATTTAAAAAGGAAGAAACTTACAGTAAACATGATACTTAAAGGTTAAAAAAAGTCAAAGTATTCCCTTTTAAGGTCAAGAATAATACAAGAATGGCCTTTTCACTGTGCCTACTCAAATCATACTGAAGGTTCTAGTTAGTGTACCTTGAAGAAAAAAGAGGGACTGAGAACTTCCAAGTGGCAAGTATGAGGCTCTGAGTTGAAACTTCAGTATGACAAAAAAAATTGGAAAATATATAGCTAGTTTTATAGATGGTATGATTGAAATAGAAACCCAAAAGGAAATATATATTACAAAATTAATACAAGAGTATTAAGATCTCATAGATACAAGATCTATTTGCAAATCATTTGCCTTTCTGTATGCCAGAAACTTAATTAAGAAATACAATTTAAAAGAGAATTTGGTTTATACTAACAACAGAAACAAAGAACCAAGAAATAAATTTATGTGTAAGACCTATGTGAAGAAAAAGATAAAACTTTGAGACATTAAAGATCCAAGTAGATATGTAGAGGAAGTATCCTAATTTAGAATAAGGAAACTCAATACTGTGTCAAAGTACCCACATTGATTTGTAGGTTTAATGAGATTCTAATCAAAATCTTAATTGGAATTTTCTTACAACTTAAGCATTATGCTAAGCAAAATACAAAAGGGCAAATATTTTATGATTCCTCTTACATAACTAATACGTAAATTTATAGAGACGAGGGAGGAGGGAAGAATTGGGAGTTATTGTGTAATAACAGAATTTCTGCTTGGGATGTCTGTCTGGAAACAGACAGTGGTGGTGGTTATACAACATTGAGAATGTGCCTCAGAATATGTCAAAATGTAATTCCTTTTAAAGACTGAATTATTTTCTGCTGTATACATATGCCCCATTTTGTTTATCCACTCATCAGCAATATACATGTTTTTTCAGGTGCTGGGGATTGAGCCCATGGCCTTGTGCATGCCAGACAAATGCTCTACCACTGAGCTACACCCAGCCCAGCAGTATATTCTTTAGGAGTGTGTATACTCAATAATAGATTTTGATAAAGTGAAGGGAAAGGGTAACCCAATTGGAAGAAAGAAACAATTTGAGAGGGGACATGCAGCTTTTAAGATAATGATAATGTTCGATTTCTTAAGCAAGGTGGTGAGTATAGGATACTTATTTTATTATGCATTAAGTAGTACTTAAATTTTACTCTTTAGTGTATATGATATATTTCATAGTTTTCAAAAATTTCAAGTGATAATGTCATTAGTTTAATTTTCATTGTCGTGAGAGATCTGATAGTTAAAATATTAGTAGAAGACAGAATCTCAGAGAACATTCTGTGTAATAAAATCACAAAAATCTAAGTATGTTTCTGACCCTCACCCCTTTCTCCGTCTTCTTACTAGGAAAAGAATTCCATTTCTAGCATGTGGTTTGTTTTATATGATATTTTCATAGAGAAAGTCAGTCAATTATTTTCATAGAAGAGGCTTTATATTAGTTTCACTCATCTTGGAATCCATAATAAGTGAAAGAGCATATGATGAGCTGTTATGTAAGAAAACTAACAAGTAACTTAGACAAGGCATTCCTCTCCACCTTCTTATAGTATATGGTAAAGTATACTCCATTTAACTATACCGTTTAATTCTGTTATGCTATATACTATGTTTATTTTAGGGGAGAAATGGTAAAGTTTCCTACATGCTTTTTTTTGTTTTTTTGGTAAAATCTACAATGTTTAGAATATTTATAAAGAAGTTCTAACTCATTAGAATATATTTACTCATTTTATAATCAGTCCATTCCTTATTAGACAAATTATTATAAGGTCTTTTCCCTTTTATAATTGTCTCCAGAGGAAATGTTTGTTAACTCCTGAATCACAGTGAGAATACATTGATGTAGAAAACTCATTTTCAGCATGATAGGAAAGTAGGGGGTACTTGCGTGAATTTTAATAATGTAACTACATTACATTAAACATCTTGCATTGACTTGTACATTTGTAAGTTTTTCTCAGTTCAAGACTGATGATCCTGATTGAATTATTTATGATATTAATGTAATAAGCCAGATTAAATGGTCTTTAAAAAACTAATGCACAGTATTTATTGAGCACCTACTACATGCTGAAGACTATTTAGTATTTTCATGTATTGCTGCAAGAGTTTCTTCAGGATGTATTCTAAGATGGGAATTGCTTAGTCATAAGATATGATGTGTACAACTTTATAAGGTAGTGTCAAATTATTTTCTAAAGTAGTTGTATCAGGCTGGAGGTATGGCTCAAGTGGGTAGAATGCCTGCCTGCCTAACAGACATGAAGCCCTGAGTTCAAACCCCAGTACCACAAAAAAACAAAACAAAAATCTAAAGTGGCTTATCAATTTGAAACTCCTTACAGCAGTATAAAAGCATTTTCACTATTCTTCATTCTTACCAGTAATTGATATTGTTCAGTTTTTAAAAATACTTGCCAATCTGAGAGTGTGAGACTGAGGGCTAGATACACAAAGAAATTGCCAAAGTGAGTAAGTGCTAGTGCCATATTCGAACCCTGGTTTGTCTATTCCAAATATATTAGTCTGGATTTCAAAGAAATGGAAATATATAGGCTGTCTTTTTATAACGATGAGAGTAGTTATGAAAAATATGAGATTTTCATGTTAAAAGAATTTTATATAAGAACTTCCTTAGGGGAAGTAGTTCTGAAAATACAATGTTAAATTAACTGGATCAGAATCACCTGGAGGGAGGAGAGAGTGGAAGAGAGGAGAGAAAGGGAGAGAGACAGGAGGGAGGGAGGAAGAGAGAAGAGGAGAGGGAGAAAGATGTGTTATTTATTAGAAATCAGGTGTTCCATCTCTGGGTCTATGAATTTATGATCTGGAAGGGGGGGAATCCAGGTGTGTATATGTTTTAAACAAACTCTCCTAGTTTTATTTGATTTTTTTTTAATAGACACTAATGTTTAAGAATCTCTGCTTAAGTGGTGCAATAAAATGTGTTTAGAATTTAACAGCTTTTACTATCTATTGTTTCAAAGACACTAATTTTTCTGAATACTTAACCCTGAGTTCAGCAGAGAAGCTTTTCTACATAATTTTTGTTCTAAAAATGAAATTGGCTAAATTTTAATTATCAAAACTCTAGAATCTGTAGGAACTATCCTTCAACTGAACTTTCAAAATTATGCTTATTTCCAAATTATCTTAATTTTTATCTTTTAAATTATTTTGTTACATAATTCAATAATTACATGAAGGGATCAATGTGAAACAGATTTGCTTAACAAATATTGAAAATAATGTGTGACAGTTTGTATGTCATGCTTTCAAAACAGAGTTTTTAAATCCTATATTGTATGTAGAATTTATTAGCTATTCTAAAGGTACAATCAGAGATTATTGTTCATATCAGTGTAATAAATTGATACTCCCTGATCGTACTTTTTCATTTTTCACATTGTCAGAACCTTGGACCTTAATCTTAGTCTTTGATTGACAGTACCGACCAGGGAAAGAAAACTTGTATTGTTTGGGATAGTCACATCTGTTCAACTTGATTCAGTTGAGGGTATTTGCATATTCTAAAGTATTTCTTCTGAGAGGGCTTAAATCCTTCTCAAGTGCTTGATGCATTTTTGAAATTCATTCATAAGGTATCTACATGCACTAATAGTTTTGTATAATATTGCTGTGTGTAATCTGACAGATAAGACCAGATTTTAAAACAAGGTATTCTTTAGGGATGCTACATTACATTTTTACTTATTCTTCTGGGCAGAAATGTCAGGTTTTTGAAGTGTGTTTTAATGTGTTATATAAGTTAGTATGTCCTTATTTAAGGCAAATTTGTCACTCATAGGGCAAATAAAGATTTATTAAATAATAGTTCAAAAGTATTAATGATAGCTTTTGTTGCCTTTGTTGGAAATCTGAGTAATGTCATAGAAGATAGTTACAGAATTTGAATGTTTCTGTCTTAGCCCCTCCTTATTTTAGAGGTAAGGTTACTGAGGCTCAAGTTTCCTGACTTGTTCAAGGTCATGCACATTAGAAATAAAGCCGTAAGTGTTTCAACTCCCAGATCAGTCAGCCTTAAATAATAATGGTATATGACCTGTAATTTACATAATTATAATTTATCCTACACCTAAAAATTTCCCCTTGCCATTAGAACACTGTCAGGGATTATGCCTTATTATCATATCTCTCCAGAATCTATGTGGTGTCTTATACATTTTACTGTCCTGTTCTTATTATTCTCCTAGGCAATTACTCTATAGAGGACAGTTGTGGAACACAGTGGCTTATTAATGGATTGCTAAACACTTTTGATAGCAAACAGATTTTGTGTTCTATTTTGATGAATTGACAATAACTGTGTTAAGAATTTTGAGGTCTGGGGTTAGCTATTTCTTCCATGTATCTCAGGGGAAGGAGAGAATCATAAGCTAGAATGATCAGAAAAGGCCTTGGGAAGAAATAAGGCTCAAATTATAGTATAGATAGAATTTAGATGCAATAGGCAAAAAAAGAGGCAGTGTCACCTTTTCTGGGAGTTGTATAAAACACTGTAAATGTTTAGAAAAGTACCACTAGGATGCATTAAATATAACCAAAGGAAGGAAAGCAATTGTTGAGTATTATTGGTGCCTAGCCCTGTGCTTGATCTTTTTCTCATAGAATTCTGGAGACTTTTCCCCCTAATGTTTATTCCTTGCTTTTCCTTTTCTGAGATATTTAGGATTATTCTAGGCTTTCCTTGTTTCTGCCTGAATCATTTCTTTCCAATTTCTTATCTGCCTTACTTAGATAGAAAAACTATGATATGGCCTAATTGCAACTTTATTTATTGTGTTATAAGAATGAATTGGTGACATGAGTCCTCAATTATTATTTGATGATATCATTTGGCTATTTTTAAAAATCCTCTAAATTACATAATTAATTTTTATCTTCCAGGAATCCCCTTCTGGTCGAAGGAAAGCTCTTGCTACGAGCAGCATCAATATGAAACAGTATGCAAGCCCTATGCCAACTCAGACTGATGTCAAGTTAAAATTCAAGCCATTGTCTAAAAAAGTTGTATCTGCCACTCTCCAGTTTTCATTATCTTGCATTTTCCTTCGGGAAGGAAAAGCTACGTAAGTTTGTTTTGTCAAGTGTGCTGCTTCATTCACATTGTGTTTCAAAACACGTTAGGTTAAATAAGTAGCTTTTTTCTCAGTGGACTGGCAAAGTTGAGCATACTGTAGCATCCCAATTATTCTTGCTATTCTTTGTTTTTGAGGCTGAGTTAAATGAACTCCTTGTTATTTATAAATAGTCTCTTTTGATTTCCAGAAAATGAACAGTAATAAAAAAGTAATTATAGCTGGTTTCAAATTTTAAATTGGATATTATAAGGTATCATGCATATTTGTTTATAGTTACATATTTTCATTGTAGCAGCCTGTACTCTGAAGTGCAGACAGTTCAATTTGTAGAGCTGTTTGATGCAACTGAGACATGAGACGAACCCAAAATAAAAAGTTTAAGAGGGATGAAAGAGGTGAGGGAACACCAATTAATATTTCTTAGTTCAGCCTTCCAAAAATTGTTTAGGGAGATAGAATTAGATAAACAATTTACTGTAACCATTTTTTCCTTTTCAAAAATTACTTCAGTCAGGTACAGTGGTATGTACGTATAGTCTCAGCTCTCAGGAGACTGAGGTAAGAGGATCACTTGAGCCTAGGAGTTCTAGAACAGCCTGGGCAACATAGTGAGATCCCATCTCAAAAACAACAACAAAACCTTTCTTAGGTGCTGAATAAGTATTGAACAAAGATTTCTAGACAAAGTTCTAGTCTCTTAAAAGAGTGAAATTCTGAGTTGGTGTGGTTTGTACATGTCTGTAATCCCAGCATTCTAGAGACTCGAGTCAGGAAGGATTGTGAATTCAAAGCCAGCCGTTGCTAAATAGTGAGTTCCAGGCCAGCCTGGACCACATAGTGAGACCTTCTATTATAAATAGATAAATAAATGAATAAATAAATAAATGATAAAATATTTAAAAAGTAAAATTCTAATTGGGTAAAAGAATGTACAAAGTATAGAGGGGAACAGGAACATTCACTCTGGTTATTGCATACCATCAAGTCAGATAACTGTATGCTATGGGTATAATGAAAGAGTTAGTACTTGGATGAAGATAGACACAGGATAAATGGAATTGCTATGCCTAGAATTTTCTATTAAATGTAAGAGGGAAAAGGCAGCTATGAACATTTAAGCCCAGTCTGAATTATAGTTCTGAACATACTTGACCCAATAGAATGTGTTTCCTATAATTGTCCATGTCTGCTTGACTGATAAGGCTAGATTCTGTGCGTCACTCAAAATGAGATGCCTGGCACTCATCTACATGGCAGCAAATGACTTAGTAAATAGCAACAATAAGTCTCCTCTTGGGGAAGTTGTGTTCTGAGTGAGTGTGGCTTATAAGACAGTCCAGAATGGAAGCATCTTAGTCTTTTCATTTCAGGACCTTACGTTATAAGCATAAATACTAAGAAATTAAAAATTAAGATCTTACTCTAAAGTTTAAGCTAAAATGAAAGGAAAGAAAACACAGGAAGAAGAGAGAACAAATTCAGAAAGATCCTTTGAGGGTGGACTTCCTTCCACTGAGCAGAAGCAGTAAGTGAATCAACACCACTCGCAGTAATTCTGGGTGAGAGGAAATTCAGCTAAAGCAAATGTCTCCATTACCTCTGAATAGGAATTCTCCCAGAACATCCTAAACTCCTCTTCCACCTCCTTTTCCTTGCCTCCTACGGCCCCCAAAGAAAAATATTTAAGATTAAAATAAGAGATTAAAGTGGTAAAATTAAGCAGGTTAACATTTTAAGAATGATATATTTTGAACTTATGGCCTATTATTATCTATTATTGGTAAATGAGAGATTTATAAAGAACTCATGTAATGTAATATCACTTTTTTTTGTTTATGTAGACTCTGTGTTATGAAATTTATTTAAAAGGGAAAATGATTTTGTTAACTCTAAGCCTATATGAGATAAAATGTGAAGAATATAAAAACCTGGTTTAGTTTGCAAAGTCGTACCATATTTAGACAATAGGTAAATGTTAATAAACATTTTATTAAAAAGACAGCATTTTAATTTTGTTATCTGAACTTGGGTAAAGTATACCAGATTGAAAATTAATTTGTTTTTAACATGTTAGAAGTATCTTTCATTCACTATGGTTTATTTGAAATGTAAGGTGGAAATAATAGCTCAAGAAAATTTAAATAATTTGACAAAATAGTAAACCTTATAAATTTATCCTTAAAATACTTCAAGATTTTTTTCAATTTTTGAAGTTTATATTTTATCAAATATATGATATTTAACTTATAATTAGCCAAAATATTTTTCATTTTGTAATTCCTTTATTTTTAAGTACTTAAAACTTTTTAACTTTGGGAGATTATGGCCCCTTTGAAAAAAAGTTGTACATTTAAATAGGATTTATATATAATTTATGGGGCTTTACCACTTTCTTTCCCTCTAACCCGTCAACTCAAAACTGTTCATGCTGTTATTCTAAATCCTTATGAAGGTTTCAGTTACTTTAAAAGTCTAAATCTCATCTGACTTGCAGACTGTCCCACTGCTCTATGAAACAAATTTTTGTTTCTAGACTTAAGGAAACCTAATTTTACTCAGGAAGCCAAATTGAATGCAGTGAAGAAAATTTTAGTTTTCTGAGGTCTTCAATACAGAATTAAACTAACTGCTAACTAGTTAATTTTTAGTCTGGTTTCCTTTTTAATAATTAAACCATTTAAAAATTAGCAAATGAGTATTTAGATTTTTCAATATTATACAACTACTTAAAAGACTTATTTACATATTCCAGAAAGAGAAAATATTAATATTGTAGATTGACAGTGCTTTATCCAAAATGCTTAAGACCAGAAGTGTTTCAGATTTCAGGGTTTTTTTTTTTTTCCCAACTTTTGTAATATTTGCCTGTCTATTATGAGATATCTTAAGAATGGCACCCCGGGCTAAACACAGAATTCTTTTATGTTTCAGACACACCTTATATCCATAGCCTGAAAGTAATTTTATATATTTTGATTGCACTTGAATCATAGAGGCCAGATATAGAATTTTCCACATGTGGCATCCTCAAAAACTTGGGGTTTTGGAACATTTTAGATTTCAGATTTTGGAGTAGAAATGTCTAACTTGCATTTTCTTAAGAAACAATTTTTAAAGCAGTGTTATCTGATGAATTGTGTATTATATTTGAATCATTGATGTAGGGATGAAGATATGCAAAGTTTGGCTAGTCTGATGAGTATGAAGCAAGCTGACATTGGCAATTTAGATGACTTTGAAGAAGATAATGAAGATGACGATGAGAACCGTGTAAATCAAGAGGAAAAGGCAGCAAAAATTACAGGTTGGTTTTAAGCATTAAACTAAAATTATATATTTTTATGCAGAACTGAAAAACTTAATTTCAGTATTCTAGGATATGACAATTTCACTCAGGTTTTTTTTTTTTTTTCCCTTAAGCTTTCTACAGCAGTATACTATTTTGCTCTTTGAAAACCTTGCATGCTGATTATAACTTAACAGATTTTAGCAGTTTAAGATCATGTCTGAGGTTAGTCAAAGAAGCATAAGATTTTCTTGAATTATAGTATAAAGCAACTAAATATGTTCATATTTCTTTTGTCAGTATGTGGGTGAAACCTCTGTAAGTAAAGACCTGCCTTAAAGTGATGATAGTACAAAAAAAGGGAATATATTGGCTAGCTTCTCCTAGCTCATGTTCATTTATTCACATGAATTATATGGATTTTCTGTGTTTTGACTTGGTATATATTTATGTATTTTTGTATTTAGAAGTTTCCATGCAGCTATCCCTTATAGCTGGTTTGATCAAACTATTAAGTAGTTAGGTGGCTAAAGTCTCTTTTTATTTATTACCAATATGTACTTACTGGTAATCTGGCTGTCACCCTTAAGGAACTACTCAAAATCCAGCACTATTTACATATTCTTTGTAGTTAAATTAATTGCTCCTATTTCTGAATTTATGTTCCTTGACTTCTACCATCTATTTGCCTGTTGGTAATTTTTCCAAATTTGTTGGAGCTTCGGTACTTATCTCTAGGTTCTGACTCGACTCCCTATTGTCTTCTGGGGAGTTGCCACTGATCACTTAGATTACCCATTGAACTCCTTAGCCAAAAAGTTCATTCCCTTTCTTGGCTCCAGTGACTTGAGAATAGACTGTGAATCTATTCTGTACTAGATATCTACCACAAGAAATTGATAAGACTTGTGGATAGTTATAGATGGTTTGTCATGTTTATATTCTACAAGTTGTTTTCTAGTTTCTGACTGAAGTTTTGATTTCTTTTTTGACATAAAGTATTTAGAAGAGTGTGCTTCACCATATGCTTTTTAAAAAAAATTGTTTATAGTTTATTTACTGCTAGTTAAATTCAAATAGGGCTCAAAACTCTTGGATTTAATTTTTAGAAAAATATTACAGTTTTTTTTCCTTTGTGGTATAGATATATAATTGTAAATACACACACATATACTGTGAATTTTCCATAAATATTTTAATATGCATATTCTATTTGTTGGATTCAGCATTTGGTCAAGCTTTTTATTTATGGTAAACTATTTATATATATATTTTTTGGCAGTACTGGAGTTTGAACTCAGGGTCTAAACCTTGAGCCACTCCACCAGCCCTTTTTTGTGATGGGTTTTTTTTTTGAGATAGGGTCTCATGAACTATTTGCCTGGGCTGGCTTCAAACTGAGATCCTCCTGATCTCTGCCTCCTGAGTAGCTAGGATTACAGGTGTGAACCACTGGTGTCTGGCTAAACTATTTATATTCTCATTTTCTCTCTGTCTCTGTTTCTGTGTCTCTTTTTCTGTCTGTCTATCTGTCTCTTTCTCCCTCTTCATGCATTTGTTCTTCCTCCCTTCCCCACCCCCCCATAGTCTCACTGTGTAACCCAGGCTGGCCTCAAACTCATGATCTTACTGACTCAGTCTCCAGCATGCTGGGATTACAGGTGTGTGCCACCACCCCCTGCTCTATAGTCTTATTCTTTTTGTATAGTTCATCTGTTTAAAGACAGAGAACTTCAGTGCTAAATTAGTCTTCAGTGCTAATTTAGTCTCTTAAAACTTCATTTTAATTTGCATCATTTAATGCTTTTTGCCCTGAAATTTTGCCTAGTGTTGATATTTGTTACCCATGTACCCATGCTTTATTTTCTTAACGTATTTATCACTCCATTTCTTAACTTTTCTTTTTTAAGTACTTCTTTAATAAATGCCATTTGGTTGATATAGCCTTACAATCTTTGTCCTTCGTTATATCTGATAACTGACATGCTTAATTTCAGTTACATTATTTTTTATATTTTTGTTTCAAGTATTTTCTTCTTATTGTTTCTTTCCCATTTCCTGTATTTTGCTACCTTCTTATTTTTTTTATTTAAACATTTTTGTGGGGGAGGCACTGGGGTTTGAACTTGGCCTCATGCTTGCTAGGCTCTAACACTTGAGTTACTCCACCTCAACATTTTTGATAGAGTAATTTGGATATTATATGTACTGTTTTCATTTTAGAATCATATTCCCTAAAACAAACCAAATAGATAAATCAATGAACCTGTAAATACTAAAATTAAAATAGAATTTTTTTACTTTCCCCTTGTAAGATGAGAGATGCAATATGATTCACTTCTTTATTCAATCCCTTTCCTTCCACCCCTTCTGGCTGTTACTATATTTGTTTCTATAACATTTGTGTGTTCTTCCAATAATAAATGTCCGACATTTGCATTATATTTCATGTCAGCAACAGCACAATACTTTTTTTTTCCTAGTCTTGTCTTTCCCATCTTTGAGCCCATTTTTTTTTTTTCTTTTTTAAGCCATTGAGTTTTGATCATTTGGCTAGCTGGAATATTTCTAGAAGGATAAGTGAGTATCTGTGGGGAGCAGATTATGAGAAGCCTATGAGAACTTGACATTAGCACAGCTGTGCCAATAATCAGCAGGCTGAGTTTGGCATGGCCCCAGCTGCAGAAGAGTACAAGATGCAGCACAGCTGTTTTTTCTAAGTTGTTTACGTTCAGAGAAATAGGAAGGCAGGTTTCTCTTGTTTCAGTGTCACTTTTTTTTGATGGGGGATGGATTGATTGGTGTGCTGCTTGCGAGAATGATGCTGCTGGTGGGCTGCTGAGTTATGCTAGAGATTAGAGGAAACATGGAACAGTGCAAGTCTGAGCACCCAGACTTTAAGAAAGCTAAAGAGAGAACATGGGACAGTGCAAGTCTAAGGACCAAGACTTTAAGAGTTATGTGAATGCAATTTTTAGATATGGCAGCTGTTGTTTGCAAGTATGAGCACTGAGACTTTAAGAGAAAACATGGGACAGTGTAAATCTGAGGGCCAAGACTTTAAGAGAGATTAAAGGGAACATGGAACAGTGCAAGTCTGAGGGCTAAGACTTTAAGAGAGATTAAAGAAAACACGGGACAGAGTGAGTCTAAGGAGAGAGACTTTAAAGAATAGAAGAGAAGCAAGGTTTTAAAGAATTGTAAAGGAGTAAGGCCTTAAAGAATAGAGAAGAGAATAATAGAGAAAAGAAGCAATGGGGCTGTTGTGCATCTCCATCTGAGTGCCCAGCACATCTGGCCCCAGCTTTATGCGTGTCTGTCTATCATTTGTCCTTTCTGCATCTCTCATCGCCCCCAGTTAGCCCAGTTAGGTCAGGAGAACAAGGGAATGAGAGAAAGCTCGCTCCAAGTATCCTCCTACCACCGCCTTCCATCTTGTCTTAGTTCACTTGGGCTACTACTACAAAATACCTTAGTCTAGATAATTTGTAAATGACAAACATTTGTTGCTCATAGTTATTGAGGCTAAAGAATCCAAGATCAAGGGACTAGCAGATTCATTGTCTGATGAGAGAGCTGTTTCTCATGGGTCGCACCTTCTTTGTGTACTCACATGACAGAAGGGCAAAGAAAAGGTACAAACTCATTCTCTCACATGCTTAACCCCATCCACAAGAGCAGATCCCTCATGACCTAATCACTTTCCAAAGACTCCATCTTTTAACGCCATTACCTTGGTGGTTAAGTTCCAACATGAATTTTGGGGGACACCCACATTCAGACCATAGTATACCTATCTTTCAAAATTTAATACTCTGAGAAGCCTTTCATACTTTCTTTTAAGCTTGACTACTCCTTCTTTTATAATACTGTACCATTTACAAATGTAGGCATTTTCATACAGTGTGAGTTTTTGTAATTCAAATATGGTATTAATTTGATCTTTTAGTTAGAGAATAAGGTTTGTTTTCTCTAGATGGCTTCTGGTTAAAACTATCTCAGACAGTAGTAGGTAGTAAGTAAGTAGGAAGTTAAAAAAAAAAAAAGCCACACATTTATAGTTGTTTTGAGCAGTATTGTGCTGCTTTGATCATAGCAATGGGAGAAAAGATGATAAAAATATATTACAAGTTCTGCACTGGTATTGAAAACAAAAGGAAGTATTATTTCTAAGCAAAATACAGATTTTTTTTTCATCTCTAGCTTCTAGCACATTGTCTGGAACATTTTACAAATTTAGTACATGTTCTCTTTTTTATAGCCCATTTTGATCACTCTAGCTTTTTACCTTATTCCATTGACTTTTAAGTACACATAATCTTACTAAAGTATAATTTTAAGTATACAAAATCTTACATAGGGTAAGGTAGTTCTGCTTTATGGAAGGAATATGTTCTAGAGGATAAACAAGTCAAAGCTCAATAATTCAAGACTAGTATTCCAGAAGTAATGAATGTAAAATGTATGTGTTGAAGAAGCAGGGGTAGATGGGAGCAATGGAAGCCTTAGGTCCATATTCTAAGTCAATAAGTCCACCATCATTGTAGTGTATTTTTTGCTTCAGTGTTACTTTTTGTCCTCACCATTTTCTATTATAGTTGCAGATTGTGGTAACTGAAATAACTGGCTTCCTTAGTTGCATTTTTTGGCACATATAAATTTCATTCCAGAGTTACTAACTTTCAGGAATTTTTTTTACCACTAGCGCCATTTTTAAATGTTTGAGTGAAGTAATTTTAGAATAATGAAAGAAGATATCAAAATTTAACAGTAATAATGTTAAAATACTATCTGAGGAATAGACAAAATGCATGTGTTTCATAAACATGATACAAATAGTCTGGTGGGTATTCTTATTTACTAGATAAAACACTTTTATTACTCTTGCCAAATTTTATGTAGCTATTGACACAATTTTTTATGGAAGAAGAAACATTATTTTAAATGGTCCCTTTCCTTAACATTCAATGTAAATTTTGTAGCATGCAGTTACATTATATTGATAAAAAATACATTTT